AGCGGTCGATTCCTAGCAACTTTATTTGCATCTTTAGTCCATATATTTTATGCATGTTTAATGACATTATTTTCCTACCAATTTTCGCGCGAGGTGGTCACGGCGATGGCACGATGCATAGATGCCTTTTGGAGCCAGCTCGTCCGGATGAGGAACGTGGCTACATGTCGTCGACATGACGCCGTTCAGGAGGTAGCTTCCTTTCTTATGTTTTTACATTACCGCTTCAATTTTGCATATTTCTTATTTTAGTTTCTTTTGCAGGGTCAGCCCATTCCTTCTCGTACGCGTACGAGACCTGAGGTGCAGAGGGAACCGACGAGGTCCAGCTCGAGACGTCGCCGCACTAGTTCGGGTGGTCGGCGCGATCGTTATGAGGCTGCTCGTACCGAGGCGATAGAGGGCTCAGGCTCTTCGTCTGAGGGTGCACATGTTACGCTGGTAAGCCAGGGAGAGGCTACCTTGGCTCTTAAAGGTGGTGGGATGTACGAGGTTGGCTCGTCATCGCAGCAGCCTCCGCAACCTCAGCCTTAGGTTGATCTTGGGTGGACGGGTCTTGTGCTAAGGATTCCACCTCCCGAGAAGACCGGAGCTAGAGCTAGTGGGGAGGATTTTCCTCGTACGGCGCATTTTTATGAGATGATGGGTGTACGTCCCCCGGCACCGTAGTTTGTTCCTGTACTTTTTATTATTTTTTTTTACTTAGGATAAAACTTTGTCTTTAATTAGACTCATTATTTAGACATGTTTGTATATACATACTATTATGAGTTTATTCATCATTTATCGTTGTTTTTCATTTTTTATTTTTATGTGCATGTTTGTGTGTGCAAAGAATTAATTTTGCACAAAAATTCCGTCATTTTATTATTGATGGAGGGATCAAACTTTTTCCACCAAAAATAAAAATGAAAAATAAAGGTCAAAAAATATTGGAATTATAAAAACTTGGAAGTTAAAATAAAATCTGAACAATAATATAATTAATTTAATAGTTATATTAATTAAGAGGAAGAAATAAATGAATTTTAGAAAAAAGATATAAAAGGAGAATAAAGAAACCGTAAAGTCATTGATCAGACTCGAATCAGGTAAAAAACGCGGTTTTTGGAAAGCTTGTACGATAAGACACGTTAGTGCCAGGTGCTACACTTAGCATTTGGCGCCAGGCTCTGGTGTCAGGCGCCAGTGTTTGGCGTCAGGCGATAATGAGCGTTGACTCCGAATCCTTCCTAGATGAAAACTGCGTCGATTTTGTGTAAAATAGCCCCTTGCCCGGGCAATTTTCTTTATAATTTAAGCAAATAAAATATATTCTTAGCTTTTAGAAAAAAATAACAACATGTCTCTAGTCTCTAAAAGTTTTATAAACTTTACTCATGAATAGTGTCGGTCTCTTAATGCCAAGGAGATAAAAGAATTAGATGTGTTTCACCTGGGGGTATTTATGGTGTCAAAGGGGTAGATCTTGATTTATATTTTATTCATACCGCTCTAGAATATTGGGATGTAGATACTCATTATTGTAGATTAAGGTATGATGAAATTTTCCCTTTGCCGGAAGAATTCGGTGCTATTTTAGGCTTTTCTACACTATATCTTGTAGTAATCCCTAGAATAAACGAATATTACTATAAGGATTTTGAACGCTTCTTCAACTTAAAAGACAAAGATCTAACCAAAATAGTAGATGGTAGCATAGTTAATTTGAAAGAATTTGGTCGCCATTATTTTGAGAGACCTTATTCTGAATCTTTCCATGTTTATAGAAGAAGGGCTTTTCTATTTTTCATGCTTAATCAATATTTTTTCACTAGTGGTAAAAATAATGAGGGTCAAGCAATTATATCTACTGTTTTAGAGCAGATTGAATATGGGAGAAATCCAATGCCCTTAATAGTTGGAGAAACTATGCTTAGTCTTGATGAGTTAAAGAAGAATCCAAAAGCACCTTTTCGGGGCTCTCCAATTTTATTTTTAGGTAGACAAATAATATTTTTAATTGAATAAATCAAAAATATATTTTTATATGATAATTATAATTTATTTGCGTTAAATGTTTTACAGATGTGGCTAATGGAAAGACTGGAATTAATTAGCCCTCCAGACAGTATTGAGAAGTATACTCTAAATTGTTTTGTGAGAATAAAGAAACACTTCTCTAAGATGCGGCGCCACGAATGGAAGAAGGTCTTCGAGTCTTATAATTTATCCATCAAGTGGGTCGTCCCATGGTGGAAAATAGAAAAGATGGTTGGTGTTAACAAGAAACCTTTTTGCCGTCTTCCAAGCTTGTACCGAATGACCTTTTATTACCTCTGCATGGTAAAAAGACAGTATGCCTACTTCAAACAATTCCTTCCGGTGATCTTCGTCGTCCCTATGAGTACCCTTTCTCTCAGGAAGTAGACAAATTTGATGCTTATTGGAGCGCTAGACCTTTATGGGAAGTGATTACCCAAAAGGTTCCTCCTTCCTTGCCCAATGATGTGAACAAGTGGCTTCTGAAGAAACCTTCAAAGGACGTGAAGAAAAATCAGAGTAAAACTGATGTGAAGAGTCATCTAGGTGATAAGGTGATTCCTGTTAAGGAACCCTTGGGTGAAAGAGTTGAGTTCAAAACACCTACGATGCCTAAGAAGAAAAGTTCTACGAAGGATGAAGGAAAAAGAAAAGCTGACACCACAGAGCAGAAGGCTTGGGTGGAAAAGAAGCATGGGGTCCTAGCTAAGGGAGAAACTATTTACTCCAAGATTGAATGTAGGTCCTCTAAAGGATGCCTACTAGCTAAGGTTATGGATGAGGAAGAAGACGCAGACAAGAATTGGAAAAGGTCTAAGAAAGAGAAAGAAGATTCAGAGCATTGCTTAATTTTCAATTATTAGACTTAGTTTTTTAAATTCAAAGTTAATTTATTTATTTAAATTCCATCAATAATGTAATTTATTTTACGGCTATTTCACCAAATGCAATTGAAAAATTTAAAAATTCATCAAATGCCATCGCACTTTTCAGAATTCACCAAATGTCATTCACAAATAGTAAAATGTCATGTCGTGCCATTATGAGGTCTGGACGTTAACAGTCCGTTAATGCGAAATGACCATTATACCCATATTTGGGGTTAATGGCGCGTGAATGCTCATTAACTCTCTGACTTCTTTAATTTAGATTAAAAAAAACTCCATCATTATTCTTCTCTGTTCTTCGAACTTTCACCCTCATTAAAACTCTCAAAACCATACTCAAACTAGAAGCTTTCGTTAACACATGAACAAAACACTCCTTAAAATTTAATCTTTTTTTGCGATTGAAGTTGCGCGAACCAGTACACCAATGACAAGTAGGGGAGGAAGTATAAGCAAAAAGCTCTTGAATTTGAGTTTGGGGTGTTCGACATAGCTGTCAAGGTAATAATCGCTCTTTCGCTTTTCCATTCGCCTTTTGAATCTGGCAATTTTTGCGAAAATTGAGTTAGGGTTAGGGTTTTTTGAAACGTTCATCTTAAATGTAATTACTTGAATTGACTGTGTGAATTATTGTTAAATTTCATATTAAAATTGTTATTTGTTGGTATTGATTTGACATTGTTATGTTTTGTGATTGTGAGGTCTTTGAATTCCATATTTCGCAATTTTGTGTACTGTTATGTTAGGGTTTGGTATGTGGTTGTTGATATGAATCATATGTGTTGATATGAATCATATGTGTTGATGTTCTGTATAGTAATGTATCTATAATTTGTTGTTTATAGGTTGAGTAAAGTGTGGCTTGATGTCCATTATAGGGATCTGGGGTTTGATGTATTGGTTGATGATACTGACAGAACAAGTTTAATGGACTTGTATGAGTTTATGTTTGAGGACTCTGTTAAGCAAAATGTGATCCTTCCAAAGTACTTTAGTTTGTATGTACTGCCACCTAGAACTAATAGGAAGTTGGAGTTGTGTTCTGATAGGCATATGCGGAAAATGTAGGAGTGGTTTGGACATAAGGAAACAATAGTAATCTATTTAGAGGAAAAAGAAAGTCCTAGTCTGGTGTTTAAGGATGCTGAGGATAATTAGCAAAAAAGGATTAAGGCCATGGCTTAGAAGGCTAGGTTAGAAGCTGAAAAGGCATAGGCTGAGAGAGAGTTGGAGGAACTGGAACCTTTTACAGTTGCAGTTAAAGTTCCTGTTGCTAATGTGGATGGGGGTGAGGATGAGTATGTAAGAGTGTTTGTGACTCCATAAGCTGATGAGGTTTTTCCTAGGCAATCTTAGCCTGAGCCTGAGCAAAATACTCAACCATCTACCCCACCTAAACAATGTCAACCAACTTCTCCTCTCAACCAACCCAAAACCTCAGGTGTGAGGAAGAATATGACCCCAAGGAAAAGGAAGAAAACACCCAAAAAAAAACTACCACCTAAAACCACCTCACCAGCTCAAACCACCTACCACCTCAACCAACATCATCACCTCAAACAACCTCACCACCTCAAACTGACAACCAAAATTGTCAAACTGACTCACCACCTCATTAACTTGAAGCACCACATTCACCTGGACCACAACCACCATCACCACCTATTTCAGCTCACCAAGCAGAGTCACCTCCACCACAAACAAGATCAGAACCAGTTCCTCAGGCAGAATCAGTTCCAGCTCAAAATAATGTCAATCAAACATCAGAACAAGCTACTACTATGCCTGAGAAACCTATAAAAATTTGTAGATCAAGGCCACAAGGATTTAGAACCAAAAAGAGATGTAGAAAAAGTGAGCTTAAGGAGATCTGAAAGACACAAGAAGCCACCAGCTGGGGTTGAAAGTAGTGAGGATGAGAGCTCTGATGATGATGATAGTGAGGATTCTAATTACATTCAATCTGACAGTGAACAATATGATGATGATTTGGATCTTGCTGACTTCATAGAAGATTAGAAAGAAGTACAATGCCTGTATGATGACATCCCACCCAAAGAATTTAAATATTACCTTTATGGGACCCAAGAAATGGATAAGACATACAAGAATGACAAGGTTTTGAGAGACTGTGAGTTTGGAAGCATTAAACTGGAACCATGGTTGATTTTTGCAGCCAAAGAGTCATTCTATGAAGTGTTTAAGGATTTTTGTGTACAAGAAGGTTTTGGAGTTTTTGTTGAAAAGAGTGATCCTACCAGGTTTATAGCAAGATGTGCTATAGATGGTTGCAACTGGAAAATCCATGCATCAAGCATGGCTGACAAAGTGAGCTGGGCAATCAAGACATTGATAGGAGAGCATGCAACTTGTGGCAGGCTTGAGATAAATTCAATTGTGGGCTGTGATTGGCTTTGCAGACATCTACAATCAGATATTCAAGCCAATCCTGACATTCCAGTTGAGTCTCTGCAAAGAATCTGTATGGAAAAATACAGAATTCAAGTGAAGAAAAGGTTATTTTACAAGGTCAAAGCAATTGCCAAGGAGCTCATTCATGGTGGATTTGGAGAGGCCTATAGTCTCCTTCCAAGATATGCTAAGATGGTCAAGCAGACCAATCTAGGGAGTTATGCACTAGTGACATTGACACAAGTACCTACAAATGTCCAACCTAGGTACAAAGCATGCTTCTTTTCTTTTGCTGCACAAGATAAAGGTTTTTTGAGAGGCTGTAGGCCAATCATTGGCATTTATGGAGCCCATCTTAGTGGATATTATAAAGGGATACTGCTAAGAGCTGTTGGAATTGATGAGAACAATGAGATATTTTTGTTTGCTTATGGCATAGTCAGTACAGAGAGTGTTGATACTTGGGGTTGTTTTATGAGGAATTTAAAGTGCCTCTTTGAGAAAGAGGGATGTAACAGAGATGATTGGACATTTCTTTCTGATAGGATGAAGGTAAATCAGTCTCTTTAGCATACACTTTTTTTCTTTTTTTTTTTTATTACTTTACAGTACTATTTACTCACTTGTTATATGGTTTTGCAGGGAATTGATGCAGCAATTATGGAGACATTCCCAGAGCTAGTAGAAGAATATGTTGTCAACACTTGTACAACAACTGCAAAAAAAAAGGCTTTAGTGGAACAATATTTTACAATGTGTTTTGGGTTGCTACTGATGCTTACAATCCATATGTTTTCAACAAAGGAATGGAGAAGATTCATGCCTACAATCCAGATGTTGTTCTATATTTGGAGAGTACCACTGAAGTTTAGTCCAGGCATAAGTTTGACCCAGTTGTCTGATGTGACCATAACACAACAAATTTTGTTGAATCATTCAACTCTTGCACCAAACCATACAGAGATCTACCTGTGTTAAAGCTTCTTGAAGGTTAAACTAGCATTTTCTCATGTTTTATCACTTTGCAAATGCCATTTCAACCTAGCTGTGTGTAACTAGTTTTAATTTTGCAGCTATAAGGCAATGGTGCATGAAAAGGATGGCTCCAAGGCTTGATAAAGCAACTTCAATGGGGGATGGGGAACTCACTTAGTATGCAACAAAGAATTTTCTCATGTTTTAACACTTTGCAAATGCCATTTCAACCTAGTTGTGTGTAACTGGTTTTAATTTTGCAGCTATAAGGAAATGATGCATGAGAAGGATGGCTCCAAGGTTTGATAAAACAACTTCAATGGGGGATGGGGAACTCACTAAGTATACAACAAATATCTTGCAAACAAGATCAGATGAGTCCAGGTTCTGCTATGCTACACCATGTGGGGGTGATGAGTTTGAGGTGAGAGATGCACATGTGTACTATCCCATAAAACTAGGGGCTGGAACTTGTGGTTGTGGGAAGTGGCAACATTTAGGGATCCCATGTAAGCATGTGCTCAGGGTGATTTACCACCAAAGGCAGCAAGCTACAGATTTTGTATCACCTTATTTCAAAGGGAGAGCATACAAAAACACTGATGGAGAGCATATGCACCCAATGCCTGACCAAACTCGGTGGCCTTCATTCAACCTCCCTGACATACTACCACCCTTAATGAAATGATCAGCAGGCAGACCCAAGAAACAGAGAAGAAGAGGGGCAAATGAAGTAAGAAAGGGAAAGAAACATTGTTCAGTCAAGTGCAGCTTATGCAAAGAATTGGGCCACAACATGAAGACATGCGCAGCAAAGAAAAAGAGTGCAGCAGCTGAAGCAACAAGTGCAGCAAACAAAAGCATTGAGCAGCCTGAAGCAACAACTGCAGCAATCAACAACAATGCAGAGGCTGAAGCAAGCACTTAAAAGACCAAGAAGAGATCAAAGAAAGCTGCATAAACTCCACAACCTTGCCCTTTTGAATGCACATCATATTTGTTAATGAAATCCTAATTTTTGAACATTAATATTCCACTATGTGCTGTACCTAAGTGTTTTCTTTTTTGGGAAAAATTTTGAATTATGTCAGCAAGGGCATTTTTTTAGATGAATAGAAAACAGTAGCCATAATTTTTTGGATGAACATGATTGCAACATGAATAATTATACTAAAAATGTTTAAATTAACACTTTATTTACTTTCATTGCAATTACATTGTTGTTCACTTCATCATTAAAATCACAACTAATACACACATAACAACTCCTTCTTTCATAATAGAATTGAGAAATTTTTGTTGCTGCCTCACTTTCTTCTTCAATTGCTTCAATTCATCATACACATCGCTATGTCCTGATCCATCCCTATCATAACAATTTCCCCTACTTTGAGCTTCTTCCGGCTTGAGGACTTTACACCATTTGAAACTATTACACAAGTTGCACTTGTAATAAAGCCTTTGAGGTTTTGATGTTGACTCCGAACTTCTAATTGCGTATTTCCGACCACAACCGCTAAACTTGTTTGGAACTCTTACATATGAATACTCGTATGTGGAGAAGGATGTGTTTGATAACAAACTTATGATTATGCATGTAGAGGGATGCAATGTGTGTTCTAAGTCTCATATTTATACAAGAAAAAGGGTGCAATGGCTATTTTACCCCAACAATATTTTAAAAATGTTCAAATAAACTAGCCGTTAGTACTCATTTGATTAGAGGGTTACTGTGAAATAATTTAAAAAATTAATGGCATTTCATGCAAATTACAAATTTGTAAATGGCAATTTGCGAATTAAGAATCCTAGTAACGGACTGTTAACGTCCAGACCTCATTAATGGCACGACATGACATTTTACTGTTTCTGAGTGGCATTTGTTGAATTCGGAAAAGTGCGATGGCGTTTGATAAATTTTAAAATTTGTTAGTGGCATTTGGTGAAATAGCTGTTTATTTCATTAATGAAATTGCAGCTTTTTAATTAAATTATTTACTTTAAATAAAGCAATGAAAACCGAAAAAAAATAATTTTCCAGAAATTTTTTCGAGTACGGAAGTCAAAAATTTTCCTAAAAACACCGAAATATTGCCCGATATTTTACAGTAAATTGGTGCCACTATTCTTCGACTGGCACCAGCTACGGCAGTCAAGCGTCAGGCGACGGAGGCTGTCGTCTGCCGCTAATGTTCTTCGGTTGGCGCCAGCATTAATTTCTATGACGCTGATGTTTCGTCGATCTTTTGTTGAATTTTTTATTAAGTCTGGGATGCGAGATTTGAAAAAAAATTAAGTGGTCGCACCCGTAAAGGGTTGCCTACGTATCTTTTCTAAAGGAATCGGGCCAAACGTAGCTCTCTTGAGTGTCCTACTCAAGTAATTATGGGTTGTAATTTTTAAGTTGGTCAAGATTTGTCATGTTCGAGAACTCATTGCCATCCATGTCAGTTAATTTTGCTTCACCTCGTGACAGGATTGTTTTCACAATGTAGGGTCCAGACCAATTAGGTCTTAATTTTCCCCTTGGATCTAAAACATTTTTCTAAAACGCTTTTAACACCAAGTCTCCTACTTTGATGTTTCTTGTCTTGACCTTCTAATTATAATGCCTAGCCATACGAGTTTGGTAACATGGAGTGTGGATTAGAGCTTCTAGTCGATTTTCATCAAGTAGAATTAGCTTCTCATATCTTGCCCTAGTCCATTCAGCTTCATCGAGTTTGCTCCCTAATGCGATGCGTAGAGATGGAATCTCTAGCTCGATAGGTTGTTCGACAACAATTCCATAAACCAAGGGAAATGGCGTATTTCCTGTTGATGTGCGAATTGACGTGCGATAACTCCACAATGCGAAGTGAAGTTTGTCAGGCCAATCCTTGTAATTTTCCGTCATTTTCTCGATGATAGTCTTTCGAATTTTATTAGCTGCTTCAACTGCTCCATTTTCCTGAGGTCTATAAGGAGAATAATGGTGATGTTGAATACCATATTTATATAGAAATTCTTCATATTCGGCTTGATAGTGAGTTCCATTATCAATTATCATTTCATGTGGGACTCCATATCGACAAATAATATTTCTTTGGATAAAGAGTGCTACATGTTTTGCAGTGAGTTTAGCGTATGATTGTGCTTTGACCCACTTTGTTAAGTAATAAATTGCCACTAAGATATATTCGTGACGTCCCGTTCCTAGGGGAGTGATTTTGCCGATGATGTCAATTCCCCATGTAGAGAATGGCCATGGCAACGTGTAGGTGTAGAGCAAAGATGGATGAACGTGTTGTAAATTAGCGTAGATTTGGCACTTTGGGCATCTTTTTATGTATTGATGGCAATCCCTATTCATTGTAGTCCAATAGTATCCTTCTCGCATTATCTTTTGGACTAACATCTTGCCATTTACGTGAGTTATACAAATTCCTTCGTGGACTATCCTCATTTCTCTTTGGGCATCCTTTTTTCCTACACATAGGAGAGCTTGACCCTGAAGTACCCTTTTGTATAGATCGTTGTCTATGAGTACGCATTGGGAAGCCAAGAGTCTTAATGCTCGTTTTGCTCTTTTGTCAGCATGGGGAGGGTATTCTCCTTTGGTGACATAATTGAGTATATCCGTATACCATGATTCTTCTTCTTCTTCTTCTTATTCTTCTTCTTCTTCTTCTTCTTCTTCTTCTTCTTCTTCTTCTTCTTCTTCTTCTTCTTCGTCTGGGACTACTTCATCATCTTCTATAGCCTGGATGTATGCTGGTTTGTGCCTTTTCTTTATAGTTAGAGGCATTTGCTCGATTTCTATGGGAATCCTAACCATTGAGGCTAGTCTTGCCAAGGCATCAGCAAATTGATTTTCTTCCCTAGGTAGGTATGTGTATTCTACCTTCTCTAACTGATCAGTAAGAGTTTCCAGATAGGTTTGTTAAGGGGCTAGACTTTCACTCCTTACTTTCCACCTTTTGGATATTTGATTGATGATTAATGAAGAGTCTCCGAATATCCTTAACTTTTTTACTCCCAATGCTAAAGCTGTTTCGACGCCTATCACGCACGCTTTGTATTCAGAAGCGTTGTTGTTAACGTCGAAATCAAGTTTTATGGAGATTGGGACATGCTCTTCTTTAGGTTATACTAGTAATACTCCAACGCCACATCCCTTTTGGTTTGAGGATCCGTCGAAGTACAAGATCCAAGTATCATCTTCGGTGACCATTAAGTCTTCATCCGGAAATTCATTGTCTTGTATTGGCGTCGAGTCTTCTATTGGAAAATCTGCTAGAATGCCTGACACCACAGATCCTTTGATAGCTTTTTCCGGCATAAACCTTACATCAAACTGGGCTAAATTGACTACCCATCTCGATATGCGTCCATTGAGTGTATATTTCTGAAAGAGATACTTGAGTGGATCTAATCAATATGTTGTCGATTAAGTCTTGGATATATTCTTTAAGATTCCAACAGTTCTCGGTAAGATGGCCCCTACCTTCATGGTACTTGCAATGTGCATTGGGGTTCCAGTTAGCCTGGGTCCCCAAATGGTCCAATAGTAAATTTCCTCCTAAATGGTTTCTTTTGTCCTTGATTATTCATAGCAAGGACTTCACTTAGGTTACAAGTGCTAACACTGTTTGAGTGGGTGGTTTTGGAAGAAGAAGGGTTGTCGTTCTTATTGCCTTTCCAGCCATTGTTGGAGTTATTGTTGGCAGCTTTAAACTTAGCCAGGTCATCATCAATATTAATTCTAATATCGTACACGGCCTTGAAGGTGTGGAGATTATTCTGATATTTGAGATGCTTGGAGTACTTTTCTTGAAGGTTTTTGATGAATAATCTTACGGACTCTTTTTTACTGGGAACCTCAATCATCTTAGCTGAGGTTTCTCTCCATTTGTTAAAGAAAGAGGTGAAGCCTTCATTCTCCTTGTGCTTGAGGATTTAAAGTTCCTTATAGTCGGTCACAACTTGAATATTGCATTTGTATCTATCAATGAAAGAATTTACTATGTACTCCCAGGTGGAGGGTTTTTCTTTCTCGAGAGAAAAGAACCATTCTTGGCAAACGGTTTCGGGAGATAGTGAGAATAGAGAGGGAAACAGTTTCTTGTCGATACCCTTAATACTCATTATTGTTTTGAATGCTCTTAAATGAAAGTAAGGGTTATCAGTTGCTTTGAATTTCGGGATGTCGTTGGCATTGAAGTTCTGCGGAAGAAGATCCTTGTCCACCGAGACCCCTTGTGAGCTAATCCCTTGAAACTTGTAGTCGCTAGATAGCTTGCTCATACTCTCTTACATGAGGTCCA